TGGGTGGGTGGGTGGGTGAGTGAGTGAGTGGGTGGGTGAGTGGGTGGGTGGGTGGGTGGGTGAGTGAGTGGGTGGGTGGGTGAGTGAGTGAGTGGGTGGGTGAGTGGGGGGGTGGGTGGGTGAGTGAGTGAGTGGGTGGGTGGGTGGGTGAGTGAGTGGGTGGGTGGGTGGGTGAGTGGGTGGGTGGGTGAGTGAGTGGGTGGGTGGGTGAGTGGGTGAGTGAGTGAGTGGGTGAGTGAGTGAGTGGGTGAGTGAGTGGGGGAGTGAGTGAGTGAGTGGGTGGGTGAGTGAGTGGGTGGGGGAGTGAGTGAGTGGGTGGGTGGGTGAGTGGGTGAGTGGGTGGGTGGGTGAGTGAGTGAGTGGGTGAGTGAGTGAGTGAGTGGGTGAGTGAGTGGGTGGGTGGGTGAGTGAGTGGGTGAGTGAGTGAGTGGGTGAGTGAGTGAGTGGGGGGGTGGGTGAGTGAGTGAGTGAGTGGGTGAGTGAGTGAGTGAGTGGGTGAATGATTGGGTGGGTGGGTGAGTGAGTGAGTGGGTGGGTGAGTGAGTGAGTGGGTGGGTGAGTGGGGGGGTGGGTGATTGAGTGAGTGGGTGGGTGGGTGGGTGAGTGAGTGGGTGGGTGGGTGGGTGAGTGAGTGAGTGAGTTGGTGGGTGGGTGGGTGGGTGAGTGGGTAAGTGAGTGAGTGAGTGGGTGAGTGGGTGGGTGGGTGGGTGAGTGGGTGGGTGAGTGAGTGAGTGGGTGGGTGAGTGGGTGGGTGGGTGAGTGGGTGAGTGAGTGGGTGGGTGGGTGAGTGAGTGAGTGGGTGGGTGAGTGGGGGGGTGGGTGGGTGATTGAGTGAGTGGGTGGGTGGGTGAGTGAGTGGGTGGGTGGGTGGGTGAGTGGGTGGGTGGGTGGGTGAGTGAGTGGGTGGGTGGGTGAGTGGGTGAGTGAGTGAGTGGGTGAGTGAGTGGGGGAGTGAGTGAGTGAGTGGGTGGGTGAGTGAGTGGGTGGGGGAGTGAGTGAGTGGGTGGGTGGGTGAGTGGGTGAGTGGGTGGGTGGGTGAGTGAGTGAGTGGGTGAGTGAGTGAGTGAGTGGGGGAGTGAGTGAGTGAGTGGGTGGGTGAGTGAGTGAGTGAGTGGGTGGGTGAGTGGGGGGGTGGGTGGGTGAGTGAGTGAGTGAGTTGGTGGGTGGGTGGGTGGGTGAGTGGGTAAGTGAGTGAGTGAGTGGGTGAGTGGGTGGGTGGGTGGGTGAGTGGGTGGGTGAGTGAGTGGGTGGGTGAGTGGGTGGGTGGGTGAGTGGGTGGGTGGGTGAGTGGGTGAGTGAGTGGGTGGGTGGGTGGGTGAGTGAGTGGGTGGGTGGGTGATTGAGTGGGTGGGTGGGTGGGTGAGTGAGTGGGTGGGTGGGTGGGTGAGTGGGTGGGTGGGTGAGTGAGTGGGTGAGTGAGTGAGTGGGTGAGTGAGTGGGGGAGTGAGTGAGTGAGTGGGTGGGGGAGTGAGTGGGTGAGTGGGTGGGTGGGTGAGTGAGTGGGGGAGTGGGTGGGTGGGGGGGTGAGTGAGTGAGTGGGTGAGTGAGTGGGTGGGTGAGTGAGTGAGTGAGTGGGTGAGTGAGTGAGTGAGTGGGTGAGTGAGTGTGTAGCTGAGTGTGTAGCTGAGTGTGTAGCTGAGTGAGTGTGTAGCTGAGTGTGTAGCTGAGTGTGTAGCTGAGTGAGTAGCTGAGTGAGTGTGTAGCTGAGTGTGTAGCTGAGTGAGTAGCTGAGTGTGTAGCTGAGTGAGTAGCTGAGTGTGTAGCTGAGTGAGTAGCTGAGTGTGTAGCTGAGTGAGTAGCTGAGTGAGTAGCTGAGTGAGTAGCTGAGTGAGTAGCTGAGTGTGTAGCTGAGTGAGTAGCTGAGTGAGTAGCTGAGTGTGTAGCTGAGTGAGTAGCTGAGTGAGTAGCTGAGTGAGTAGCTGAGTGTGTAGCTGAGTGAGTAGCTGAGTGTGTAGCTGAGTGTGTAGCTGAGTGTGTAGCTGAGTGTGTAGCTGAGTGGGTAGCTGAGTGGGTAGCTGAGTGGGTAGCTGAGTGTGTAGCTGAGTGTGTAGCTGAGTGGGTGAGTGAGTGGGTGAGTGAGTGAGTGAGTGGGTGAGTGTGTAGCTGAGTGTGTAGCTGAGTGTGTAGCTGAGTGTGTAGCTGAGTGGGTAGCTGAGTGTGTAGCTGACTCACTGAGTGTGTAGCTGAGTGTGTAGCTGACTCACTGAGTGTGTAGCTGAGTGTGTAGCTGAGTGTATAGCTGAGTGGGTGAGTGAATGAGTGGGTGAGTGAATGAGTGGGTGAGTGAGTGAGTGGGTGAATGAGTGGGTGAATGAGTGGGTGAGTGAGTCTGTGAGTGAGTGAGTGAGTGTGTAGCTGAGTGTGTAGCTGAGTGAGTGAGTGAGTGTGTAGCTGAGTGAGTGTGTAGCTGAGTGTGTAGCTGAGTGAGTGAGTGAGTGGGTGAGTGAGTGTGTGAGTGAGTGGGTGAGTGAGTGAGTGAGTGGATGAGTGGGTGAGTGAGTGAGTGTGTAGCTGAGTGTGTAGCTGAGTGAGTGAGTGAGTGTGTAGCTGAGTGTGTAGCTGAGTGTGTAGCTGACTCACTGAGTGTGTAACTGAGTGAGTAGATGAGTGTGTAGCTGAGTGTAGCTGAGTGTGTAGCTGAGTGAGTGTGTAGCTGAGTGGGTAGCTGATTGAGTGTGTGTGTGTGTGTGTAGCTGAGTGTGTAGCTGAGTGAGTGAGTGTGTAGCTGAGTGTGTAGCTGAGTGTGTAGCTGAGTGTGTAGCTGAGTGTGTAGCTGACTCACTGAGTGTGTAGCTGAGTGTGTAGCTGAGTGTGTAGCTGACTCACTGAGTGTGTAGCTGAGTGTGTAGCTGAGTGTGTAGCTGAGTGTGTAGCTGAGTGTGTAGCTGAGTGGGTGGGTGAGTGAGTGGGTGAGTGGGTGGGTGAGTGAGTGGGTGAGTGAGTGGGTGAGTGGGTGAGTGAGTGAGTGAGTGTGTAGCTGAGTGTGTAGCTGAGTGTGTAGCTGAGTGAGTGAGTAGCTGAGTGTGTAGCTGAGTGTGTAGCTGAGTGTGTAGCTGAGTGAGTGTGTAGCTGAGTGTGTAGCTGAGTGTGTAGCTGAGTGTGTAGCTGAGTGTGTAGCTGAGTGAGTGAGTGGGTGAGTGAGTGAGTGGGTGAGTTGGTGAGTGAGTGAGTGTGTAGCTGAGTGTGTAGCTGAGTGGGTGTGTAGCTGAGTGTGTAGCTGAGTGTGTAGCTGAGTGTGTAGCTGAGTGAGTGAATGAGTGAGTGAGTGTGTGAGTGAGTGTGTGAGTGAGTGTGTAGCTGAGTGTGTAGCTGAGTGTGTAGCTGAGTGTGTAGCTGAGTGTGTAGCTGAGTGTGTAGCTGAGTGAGTGAGTGGGTGAGTGGGTGAGTGAGTGAGTGTGTAGCTGAGTGTGTAGCTGAGTGAGTGTGTAGCTGAGTGTGTAGCTGAGTGTGTAGCTGAGTGTGTAGCTGAGTGTGTAGCTGAGTGAGTGAGTGAGTGAGTGTGTAGCTGAGTGAGTGTGTAGCTGAGTGTGTAGCTGAGTGTGTAGCTGAGTGTGTAGCTGAGTGTGTAGCTGAGTGTGTAGCTGAGTAGCTGAGTGTGTAGCTGAGTGTGTAGCTGAGTGAGTGAGTGAGTGGGTGGGTGGGATGGTGAGTGAGTGGGTGAGTGGGTGAGTGAGTCTGTGAGTGAGTGAGTGAGTGTGTAGCTGAGTGTGTAGCTGAGTGTGTAGCTGAGTGTGTAGCTGAGTGTGTAGTTGAGTGTGTAGCTGAGTGTGTAGCTGAGTGTGTAGCTGAGTGTGTAGCTGAGTGTGTAGCTGAGTGAGTGAGTGAGTGTGTAGCTGAGTGAGTGTGTAGCTGAGTGTGTAGCTGAGTGAGTGTGTAGGTGAGTGAGTGTGTGAGTGAGTGGGTGAGTGAGTGAGTGAGTGGATGAGTGGGTGAGTGAGTGAGTGTGTAGCTGAGTGTGTAGCTGAGTATGTAGCTGAGTGTGTAGCTGACTCACTGAGTGTGTAGCTGAGTGTGTAGCTGACTCACTGAGTGTGTAGCTGAGTGTGTAGCTGAGTGTGTAGCTGAGTGTGTAGCTGAGTAGCTGAGTGTGTAGCTGAGTGTGTAGCTGAGTGAGTGAGTGGGTGGGTGGGTGAGTGAGTGGGTGAGTGAGTGAGTGGATGAGTGGGTGAGTGAGTGAGTGTGTAGCTGAGTGTGTAGCTGAGTGTGTATGTTGCAGGCTGAGACTATGCTGAAGAAGGTTGGTGTACACGGAGTGAAACTGAGTGAGTACGAGCTCAGCATTGCCGCCCACATCGTGGACCCACGTTCAATGCAGGTACAGCCATCATCATCATCATCAGTATCATCATCATCATCAGTATCATCATCATCAGTATCATCATCATCAGTAGTAGTATCATCATCATCATCAGTATCATCATCATCATCATCAGTATCATCATCATCAGTAGTAGTATCATCATCATCATCAATATCATCATCATCAGTAGTAGTATCATCAGTATCATCATCATCAGTATCATCATCATCAGTATCATCATCATCATCAGTATCATCATCATCAGTATCATCATCATCAGTATCATCATCATCATCAGTATCATCATCATCAGTATCATCATCATAATCAGTATCATCAGTATCATCATCAGTATCATCATCAGTATCATCATCATCATCAGTATCATCATCATCAGTATCATCATCAGTATCATCATCATCAGTATCATCATCATCATCATCAGTATCATCATCATCATCAGTATCATCAGAATCATCAACATCATCATCATCAGTATCATCATCATCATCAGTATCATCATCATCAGTATCATCATCATCATCAGTATCATCATCATCAGTATCATCATCATCAGTATCATCATCATCAGTATCATCATCATCAGTATCATCATCATCAGTATCATCATCATCAGTATCATCATCATCATCATCATCAATATCATCATCATCAGTAGTATCATCATCATCAATATCATCATCATCAGTAGTATCATCATCATCATCATCAATATCATCATCATCAGTAGTAGTATCATCATCAGTAGTAGTATCATCATCATCAGTAGTATCATCATCATCATCAGTATCATCATCATCATCAGTATCATCATCATCAGTATCATCATCATCAGTATCATCATCATCATAATCAGTATCATCAGTATCATCATCAGTATCATCATCATCAGTATCATCATCATCAGTATCATCATCATCAGTATCATCATCATCAGTATCATCATCATCATCAGTATCATCATCAGAATCATCAACATCATCAGTAGTAGTATCATCATCAGTATCATCATCATCAGTATCATCATCATCAGTATCATCATCATCAGTATCATCATCAGTATCATCATCATCAGTATCATCATCATCATCAGTATCATCATCATCAGTATCATCATCATCAGTATCATCATCATCAGTATCATCATCATCAGTATCATCATCATCAGTATCATCATCATCAGTATCATCATCATCAGTATCATCATCATCATCAGTATCATCATCATCAGTATCATCATCATCAGTATCATCATCAGTATCATCATCAGTATCATCATCATCAGTATCATCATCATCATCAGTATCATCAGTATCATCAACATCATCAGTAGTAGTATCATCATCATAATCAGTATCATCATCATCATCAGTATCATCATCATAATCAGTATCATCATCAGTATCATCATCATCAGTATCATCATCATCATCATCAGTATCATCATCATCATCAGTATCATCATCATCATCAGTATCATCATCATCATCATCAGTATCATCATCATCAGTATCATCATCATCAGTAGTAGTATCATCATCATCATCATCAGTATCATCATCAGTATCATCATCATCATCAGTATCATCATCATCAGTAGTAGTATCATCATCATCAATATCATCATCATCAGTAGTAGTATCATCATCAGTATCATCATCATCAGTATCATCATCATCAGTATCATCATCATCATCAGTATCATCATCATCAGTATCATCATCATAATCAGTATCATCAGTATCATCATCAGTATCATCATCAGTATCATCAGTATCATCATCATCAGTATCATCATCAGTATCATCCTCATCAGTATCATCATCATCAGTATCATCATCATCAGTATCATCATCATCAGTATCATCATCATCAGTATCATCATCATCATCAGTATCATCATCATCAGTATCATCATCATCAGTATCATCATCATCAGTATCATCATCATCATCATCAGTAGTAGTATCATCATCATCAGTATCATCATCATCAGTATCATCATCATCATCAATATCATCATCATCAATATCATCATCAGTAGTATCATCATCATCATCATCAATATCATCATCATCATCAGTAGTATCATCATCATCAATATCATCATCATCAGTAGTATCATCATCATCATCAATATCATCATCATCATCATCAGTAGTAGTATCATCATCAGTAGTAGTATCATCATCATCAGTAGTATCATCATCATCATCAGTATCATCATCATCATCATCATCAGTATCATCATCATCAGTATCATCATCATCAGTATCATCATCATCATAATCAGTATCATCAGTATCATCATCAGTATCATCATCATCAGTATCATCATCATCAGTATCATCATCATCAGTATCATCATCATCAGTATCATCATCATCATCATCAGTATCATCATCAGAATCATCAACATCATCAGTAGTAGTATCATCATCATCATCAGTATCATCATCATCAGTATCATCATCATCATCAGTATCATCATCATCAGTATCATCATTATCATCAGTATCATCATCATCAGTATCATCATCATCAGTATCATCATCATCAGTATCATCATCATCAGTATCATCATCATCAGTATCATCATCATCAGTATCATCATCATCATCAGTATCATCATCATCAGTATCATCAACATCATCAGTAGTAGTATCATCATCATAATCAGTATCATCATCATCATCAGTATCATCATCATAATCAGTATCATCATCAGTATCATCATCAGTAGTAGTATCATCATCATCAGTAGTAGTATCATTATCAGTACTAGTATCATCATCAGTAGTAGTATCATCATCATGAGTAGTAGTATCATCATCATCATCAGTATCATCATCATCATCAGTATCATCATCATCAGTAGTATCATCATCATCAGTAGTAGTATCAAAATCATCAGTATCATCATCATCATCAGTAGTAGTATCATTATCATCATCAGTAGTATCATCATCAGTAGTAGTATCATCATCATCAGTAGTAGTATCATTATCAGTACTAGTATCATCATCAGTAGTAGTATCATCATCAGTAGTAGTATCATCATCATCATCAGTAGTAGTATCATCATCATCATCATCAGTAGTATCATCATCATCAGTAGTAGTATCATCATCATCAGTAGTAGTATCATCATCATCAGTAGTATCATCATCATCATCAGTAGTATCATCATCATCAGTAGTATCATCATCATCATCATCAGTAGTATCATCATCATCAGTAGTAGTATCATCATCATCAGTAGTAGTATCATCATCATCAGTAGTAGTATCATCATCAGTAGTAGTATCATCATCATCATCATCAGTAGTAGTATCATCATCAGTAGTAGTATCATCATCATTATCACCAGTAGTAGTATCATCATCATCATCAGCAGTAGTATCATCATCATCATCAGTAGTATCATCATCATTATCATCATCAGTAGTATCATCATCATCATCATCATCATCTGATGATGATGATGATGATGATGCTGATTGCCTGCAGGTGTCCTGGGATGACATCGCTGGTCTGGATGAGGTAATCTTGGACCTCAAGGACAACGTCATTGCTCCGTTTCACAAGCGACATCTGTTCCGTTCCTCACGCCTGTTACAGCCTCCCAGCGGTAACTCGGATACGCAGCCAGCTACCCAGCTAGCTACTCACGCAGCCAGCTACCCAGCTAGCTACTCAGCCAGCCAGCTACCCAGCTAGCTACTCACTCACTCAGCCAGCTACCCAGCTAGCTACTCAGCCAGCCAGCTACCCAGCTAGCTACTCAGCCAGCCAGCTACCCAGCTAGCTACTCACGCAGCCAGCTACCCAGCTAGCTACTCAGCCAGCCAGCTACCCAGCTAGCTACTCACTCACTCAGCCAGCTACCCAGCTAGCTACTCACTCACTCAGCCAGCTACCCAGCTAGCTACTCACACAGCCAGCTACCCAGCTAGCTACTCAGCCAGCCAGCTACCCAGCTAGCTACTCACTCACTCAGCCAGCTACCTAGTTAGCTACTCACACAGCCAGCTACCCAGCTAGCTACTCACTCACTCAGCCAGCTACTCACTCACTCAGCCAGCTACCCAGCTACTCACTCACTCAGCCAGCTACCCAGTTAGCTACTCACTCACTCAGCCAGCTACCCAGCTAGCTACTCACTCAGCCAGCTACCCAGCTACCCAGCTACTCACTCACTCAGCCAGCTACCCAGCTACTCACTCACTCAGCCAGCTACCCAGCTAGCTACTCACTCAGCCAGCTACCCAGCTAGCTACTCACTCACTCACTCAGCTACTCACTCAGCCAGCTACCCAGCTAGCTACTCACTCACTCAGCCAGCTACCCAGCTACTCACTCACTCAGCTACTCACTCAGCCAGCTACCCAGCTAGCTACTCACTCAGCCAGCTACCCAGCTAGCTACTCACTCAGCCAGCTACCCAGTTAGCTACTCACTCACTCAGCCAGCTACTCAGTTAGCTACTCACTCACTCAGCCAGCTACCCAGCTAGCTACTCACTCACTCAGCCAGCTACCCAGCCAGCTACTCACTCAGCCAGCTACCCAGCTAGCTACTCACTCACTCAGCCAGCTACTCACTCAGCCAGCTACCCAGCTAGCTACTCACTCACTCAGCCAGCTACCCAGTTAGCTACTCACTCACTCAGCCAGCTACCCCGCTAGCTACTCACTCAGCCAGCTACCCAGCTACTCACTCACGCAGCCAGCTACCCAGCTAGCTACTCACTCACTCAGCCAGCTACCCAGCTAGCTACTCACTCACTCAGCCAGCTACTCACTCACTCAGCCAGCTACCCAGCTAGCTACTCACTCAGCCAGCTACCCAGTTAGCTACTCACTCACTCAGCCAGCTACCCAGTTAGCTACTCACTCACTCAGCCAGCTACCCAGCTACTCACTCACTCAGCTACTCACTCAGCCAGCTACCCAGCTAGCTACTCACTCAGCCAGCTACCCAGCTACTCACTCACTCAGCCAGCTACCCAGCTAGCTACTCACTCACTCAGCCAGCTACCCAGCTACTCACTTACTCAGCCAGCTACCCAGCTAGCTACTCACTCACTCAGCCAGCTACCCAGCCAGCTACTCACTCATTCAGCCAGCTACCTAGCTACTCACTCACTCACTCAGCCAGCTACCCAGCTAGCTACTCACTCAGCCAGCTACCCAGCTACTCACTCACTCAGCCAGCTACCCAGCTAGCTACTCACTCACTCAGCCAGCTACCCAGCTACTCACTCACTCAGCCAGCTACCCAGTTAGCTACTCACTCACTCAGCCAGCTACCCAGTTAGCTACTCACTCAGCCAGCTACCCAGCTACTCACTCACTCACTCAGCCAGCCATCCAGCTAGCTACTCACTCACTCAGCCAGCTACCCGGCTAGCTACTCACTCACTCAGCCAGCTACCCAGCTACTCACTCACTCAGCCAGCTACCCAGCTAGCTACTCACTCACTCAGCCAGCTACCCAGTTAGCTACTCACTCACTCAGCCAGCTACCCAGCTAGCTACTCACTCAGCCAGCTACCCAGCTAGCTACTCACTCAGCCAGCTACCCAGTTAGCTACTCACTCACTCAGCCAGCTACCCAGCTAGCTACTCACTCAGCCAGCTACCCAGCTAGCTACTCACTCAGCCAGCTACCCAGCTAGCTACTCACACACTCAGCCAGCTACCCAGCTAGCTACTCACTCACTCAGCCAGCTACCCAGCTAGCTACTCACTCACTCAGCCAGCTACTCACTCACTCAGCCAGCTACCCAGTTAGCTACTCACTCAGCCAGCTACCCAGTTAGCTACTCACTCACGCAGCCAGCTACCCAGCTAGCTACTCACTCACTCAGCCAGCTACCCAGCTAGCTACTCACTCACTCAGCCAGCTACCCAGTTAGCTACTCACTCACTCAGCCAGCTACCCAGCTAGCTACTCACTCAGCCAGCTACCCAGCTAGCTACTCACTCAGCCAGCTACCCAGCTAGCTACTCAGCCAGCCAGCTACCCAGCTAGCTACTCACTCACTCAGCCAGCTACCTAGTTAGCTACTCACTCACTCAGCCAGCTACCCAGCTAACTGCTCACTCAGCCAGCTACCCCAGCTAGCTACTCACTCAGCCAGCTACCCAGCTAGCTACTCACTCACTCAGCCAGCTACCTAGTTAGCTACTCACTCACTCAGCCAGCTACCCAGCTAACTGCTCACTCAGCCAGCTACCAGCTAGCTACTCACTCAGCCAGCTACCCAGCTAGCTACTCACTCACTCAGCCAGCTACCTAGTTAGCTACTCACTCACTCAGCCAGCTACCCAGCTAACTGCTCACTCAGCCAGCTACCCAGCTAGCTACTCACGCAGCCAGCGACCCAGCTAGCTACTCAGCCAGCCAGCTACCCAGCTAGCTACTCACTCACTCAGCCAGCTACCTAGTTAGCTACTCACTCACTCAGCCAGCTACCCAGCTAACTGCTCACTCAGCCAGCTACCCAGCTAGCTACTCACTCAGCCAGCTACCCAGCTAGCTACTCACTCACTCAGCCAGCTACCTAGTTAGCTACTCACTCACTCAGCCAGCTACCCAGCTAACTGCTCACTCAGCCAGCTACCCAGCTAGCTACTCACGCAGCCAGCTACCCAGCTAGCTACTCACTCACTCAGCCAGCTACCTAGTTAGCTACTCACTCACTCAGCCAGCTACCCAGCTAACTGCTCACTCAGCCAGCTACCCAGCTAGCTACTCACTCAGCCAGCTACCCAGCTAGCTACTCACTCACTCAGCCAGCTACCTAGTTAGCTACTCACTCACTCAGCCAGCTACCCAGCTAACTGCTCACTCAGCCAGCTACCCAGCTAGCTACTCACTCAGCCAGCTACCCAGCTAGCTACTCACTCACTCAGCCAGCTACCTAGTTAGCTACTCACTCACTCAGCCAGCTACCCAGCTAACTGCTCACTCAGCCAGCTACCCAGCTAGCTACTCACGCAGCCAGCTACCCAGCTAGCTACTCAGCCAGCCAGCTACCCAGCTAGCTACTCACTCACTCAGCCAGCTACCAAGTTAGCTACTCACTCACTCAGCCAGCTACCCAGCTAACTGCTCACTCAGCCAGCTACCCAGCTAGCTACTCACTCAGCCAGCTACCCAGCTAGCTACTCACTCACTCAGCCAGCTACCCAGCTAACTGCTCACTCAGCCAGCTACCCAGCTAGCTACTCACGCAGCCAGCTACCCAGCTAGCTACTCAGCCAGCCAGCTACCCAGCTAGCTACTCACTCACTCAGCCAGCTACCCAGTTAGCTACTCACTCACTCAGCCAGCTACCCAGCTAGCTACTCACTCACTCACTCAGCCAGCTACTCACTCACTCAGCCACCTAGCTAGCTACTCACTCACTCAGCTACTCACTCACTCAGCCAGCTACCCAGCTAGCTACTCACTCAGCCAGCTACCCAGTTAGCTACTCACTCACTCAGCCAGCTACTCACTCACTCACTCAGCCAGCTACTCACTCACTCAGCCAGCCAGCTACCCAGCTAGCTACTCACTCACTCAGCCAGCTACTCACTCACTCAGCCAGCTACCCAGCTACTCACTCACTCAGCCAGCTACCCAGTTAGCTACTCACTCACTCAGCCAGCTACCCAGCTACTCACTCACTCAGCCAGCTACCCAGCTAGCTACTCACTCACTCAACCAGCTACCCAGCTAGCTACTCACTCAGCCAGCCAGCTACCCAGCTGCTACTCACTCACTCAGCCAGCTACCCAGCTAGCTACTCACTCACTCAGCCAGCTACCCAGTTAGCTACTCACTCACTCAGCTAGCTACCCAGCTACTCACTCAGCCAGCTACCTACCCAGCTACTCACTCACTCAGCCAGCTACCCAGCTAGCTACTCACTCACTCAGCCAGCTACCCAGCTAGCTACTCACTCACTCAGCCAGCTACCCCAGTTAGCTACTCACTCACTCAGCAGCTACCCAGCTACTCATTCACTCAGCCAGCTACCTACCCAGCTACTCACTCACTCAGCCAGCTACCCAGCTAGCTACTCACTCACTCAGCCAGCTACCCAGCTACTCACTCATCCAGCTACCCAGCTAGCTACTCACTCACTCAGCCAGCTACCCAGCTACTCACTCACTCAGCCAGCTACCCAGCTAGCTACTCACTCACTCAGCCAGCTACCCAGCTAGCTACTCACTCACTCAACCAGCTACCCAGCTAGCTACTCACTCAGCCAGCCAGCTACCCAGCTAGCTACTCACTCACTCAGCCAGCTACCCAGCTAGCTACTCACTCACTCAGCCAGCTACCCAGTTAGCTACTCACTCACTCAGCCAGCTACCCAGCTACTCACTCAGCCAGCTACCTACCCAGCTACTCACTCACTCAGCCAGCTACCCAGCTAGCTACTCACTCACTCAGCCAGCTACCCAGCTAGCTACTCACTCACTCAGCCAGCTACCCAGTTAGCTACTCACTCACTCAGCCAGCTACCCAGCTACTCATTCACTCAGCCAGCTACCTACCCAGCTACTCACTCACTCAGCCAGCTACCCAGCTAGCTACTCACTCACTCAGCCAGCTACCCAGCTACTCACTCAC